AATTGTAAATCTGATTCTACTAATTGCGAAAAAAATTTAAAAGATCAATTCAATCCCTCTTGATCTCAACTTATATTTCTTACAGTTTTAACATAAATAATAAAAACTTAATGAAGTAACTATCAATGTATAAATACTACATAAAAAATTTTAATTGTAATGAATACAAATATCTATCTTAATTATTATATGAAAAACATATTTTACCTTTTAAAACATATCACATTATTATTATTATTATTATTATTATTATTATTATTATTATTATTATTATAAAATTGTATACTATCTATATATAATAATATATATATATATATATATATAAAAAAATTCTCTTTTATAGGTTATTTTTTTGTCATCACTTAATGACGACTCTCGAATAGAAGGGAAACAATTTAGGGTTAGGTTTTAAAAGTTGATTTGATTGGAAATAGAAAACAGAAAAACATAAAAGATATTGTAGGCGCCACAAATAAGAATATTTGATAAGCCAAGAAGGATCGCCACAAGAATTGGATAATTCTTGATAAGATCAAGTGATGCAAGTAAGAACCCTAGCAGAGCAACAATTCACAAAGTGATTCTGAATATTACGTCCATTCATTGTGAATTTCCAAATGTTTAATACAACTTAAGTTTATGAGTTTGTCTCATTGCAGGAAATAAAGATAAATTAAAATCCTAATATCCCAAGCAAAGTTAAGTTGCTCAAATGGTTCAGTAAAGACATTATAAGTTTTGAGTCTTGGGTTCAAATCCTCGCTGTAGCAAATAAGAATAATAATAACTAAATCTTTTAGTTGAGCCTCCTAGCTCTCAAAACATTTTATGCATGTGATAGGGTTAGGCTACTCTATGTTTGGATTTGATTTTGATCCTTCTCATTATGGGTTTTGACCTTTATGTCCCCATCGCTTAATATTTTATTCATCCTAATGTATTGTCTTCTCTCTTATGTTTCTTTTATTTTTCTCTAATATAATTAAAAAAATTACTTTAATAAAAACTATATTTCTCTCTTTCCTCATAAATCCTCAATTACACTTTTTGTGTAATTTCTCTCTTTAAAACACCTTCTATTACACTTTTCCAATTTTTCTTTTTCATCTTAAATTAAAATTAAAAATATTATTTTATAAAAATAATAATAATAATAAATGCGGATACATAAACTAAGTGCATGTTTCCAATAATAATAATAATAATAATAAATAAATAAATAATATTTATAATAATAATAATAATAATAATAATAATAATAATAAAAAGCAACGAGGTGGAACAAATAGGGTTGGACCGGGCCAACTTTATTTATGACAATAAAGGACCACATGTGGGGCAGTGGGAAGGAATCAGCGGGTAATGGTAGAAGCCTCCGTATGTGTTCGAGTGTAGCAGAGACAGAATAATGCGTGATAAGGATGAGGCAGATCTTCAACCATCTCTCTTTCCCAAACATTCTTTCAATGCATCCATTCATTTTAAGCCAATCATCAAGATTCATGCAAAACTTCACATCCACAACGCTACTACATAATCAAAATCTTAACTTTTAAACCCGCTACATACGTTTATATATTCCCCTAATTGCACTCTTTTACCACTCTATTTTAATGATAAAATGTGTGAAAAAAATTGGATTGTAAGATTTAAAGATGGATAATAGTTAAGTGATAAAATGTAAGAGATAAATATTTTCTTATAAATAATTGTTTAGTTAACTTTATTACATTCCTTAAATGAATCAAATAAATATAAGTACTGCTATTATTTGAATATAATAGCATTCTTTTTTTACATCAGATAATAGCATTTTATAGTTAATAAAAATAATTAATATAATTTAATTTAAATTTAAAATAATACTATGGTTTAACTCAAAGATTTAAATATGCTTTCGGTATTTATAAAACGAGTGTGTTTTGATTTAGTTTCCATAACAAAAACTATTTGCAATTCATTCTTCTAAAGTTTAAAATTGTTTATTTTAATTTCTATAAAAGAATAAATTTTAAAATATTTTTCTTTAGAATACCTTAAAAATCTAAATTATTTTGGTTTCCAAAGTTCATTTTTAAGAGAGATATGTAATATTTATTTTAGGAATGTAGAAGGTTTTTATTAGAATAAAAATCTTGACATTGTATATAATAGAAGTAAGGAATATTATTTGGATATCAAAGGGCACATGAAAGTAAGATATAATAAGATAAAAAATAAATAAAAAATGGCAGTTTTTTAAAGAATGAATGTTTTTCTTTTCTTTTTTAATAATAAAGCTAATTTTACAAAGACTAAAAACATATTTAAATCTAATTTAAAATAAATTTTGATTTGAAATTTAAAGTTAATAAAAAACCCATACTAAGACATAGTTGAAAGTCTTAATAAATCCATATCATTCTAACAAGTTGTGTACGAAAATCATTGTGTAACTAGAAAAGAAAGAAAAAAAAGTTGTATTAAAATGAGTTAATTAAGAAGCAATAAAATAAGAATTTGATTTTTAAAATTTACAGTACAAGAACATGATAGTTTAAAAGAATGATGAACCAAAACCAAAGCTTTACATGCCTCTTATAAACAATAAGTATGGAATCGTGAACTACATTAATTTAGTTGGAGAAAATATGAAAATATTTCCCAAAATTGCAACTAAAAAGGGTTGGAAACAAACACAAATGTCTTATCTTTTTCAAAGGATAACTATCCTTATCATTACAGCATCAAAAAGATCTTCAAAAGAATTATGAGCTATGTAAAGTTCAGTACAAATTTCTTATATGAACCATTATTGCAGGTAATTCCTATATATTGAGCATCAATTTTGGGTTGTTCTGGCGAATATACTACACTCATGAGGGCAAAGCCTAGTTGCAAGATGTTGCAAACAAAACAATTCCATAGGGAGGGGGCACTCTAAACCAATTTGATACCTGTAGCCATGCCATCACTACACCGACCTCTGAAACTATATCGTGCTTTTCTAATGCTTTACTGTTATTCCAAATTCCAAAATTCAAACGCACATTTACCCTTTCACTATAATTCAGTCCTTTTAATTCTTCATTCGAATCAAAACTCACATATCATATGCATTACCTTTTTGTTTAAACAATAATAAACCTAAATGAAGCATGCTCAAGATTGTGGTGTACAACGTTACTAATCACATTCATTGCACGTATCTCACACGACAATCTGTGGTGTAGAATGATTATGATTTTACAGTCTTCTCTGCACCATGTCTCTGTAGTCAGTACTTGCCAATTAATATATGAATAATAAACAAAATTTAAAAAGAAAAAAGTTCAACTGGAAACTAGCAATTACAACAGGAAAAAGTAATGCTATGGTATCTTGTGAAATAGCTATAAAGAACCTGCAAATATGATGAGTATAAATACAACAATTAATGAAAATTTGAGAGAATCATTAGTTGTAATAATTAAGTTTAGCAGAACATAATGCCTTGTTCAATTTTAGGCCTTAAACTTATAATTGCCATAATTTTCACCAACTCTCTTAATTTTTCTGTCATGTCATAAGTTTTTCTCTGTCTACTGGCTGAAAAGACTGATCTCATGTGATATCTAACGAAGTTTTACACACTTTTTTAAATAACATTGACTTCATATTTTGTTTAAAAAAATGAAGTAGATAAAAACTGATTAAGTGATTTTACAGAGTCATGAACTAGGGATTCTGTAAGCCGACACTTGAATGTATCATGTACTCAAATGAATGTTTACTCCTCCATCATGGTTCATTTTTTTTATCTTTATTGTCATCAAAAGGTTACATTTTTATGTTATCCCCCACTCAACAAATAAGTGGGCCAAAAATCTACGATTTATCCTCCTGTATCATGGCGTGCAAGTTAGCCTTTCAAGAATAAGGTTCTGGTTTGGTCATCTTGACATGCAGAGTTATTACCATTTCTAGAAACTAGGTTAATGATGGTTTCTGTCACCTTATTGCCTTGCCGTTGCCCAAGATCAATCATATATGAGTTAAAAAGATATGATTGTGGATGTTCTTTACATAACAAGTATAAAAGCCAAGCGAATGAAAAGGCCAGTTAGACCAACCCATGTGCTAATCAAGAAGGGGTAAAACTTCAAACTGTTCCTGTTGTTTTGATGAGCCTTCACAGAACTTAGAAGCTAAAGATTATTATCCCTATACTACAACTGGTTTAAAAGGTGTGAGCAATTGCTGAACTGAATCCATATAGTTTGTTTCATGGCATTGACCTAAGGTAAAAGCAAGAGACAAATCGACATATCATGAAAGATATTTCAGATACATATAGCAGTAATGCATTTGTTGGTATTTGATGTAGTGATTTAATCCATGAAACTATTTTTGACATAGAAAAATTATAATTTGTTTCCTTGTCAAACGACTTCCTCTTCTTCATCACATGCAGGTTCCTATTAATGTTGTAATAATTGGAATTATTTTACCACTTACATGGCCATGACAATGCTCCAAGGTTATGCCTCTTAACAAATCAAACGACACAAATGCTTGAGCTCCAACTTACGTAGTTGTTGTTAATAAAAACAGATTCATCATTTGCACATCAAGCAAAATCATGGTCGTAAACCATGAATTAAGTAAAAGGAAAGAGGGACCCCAACAGCTAAAAAGAGTCAGTCACCTATTTAATAACCTTTCCTCGGAGTAAAAAAAAAAGAAGAAGAAAAAGCAGTAATAATTGTACGAACACAACTGGCCAAGCAGGAGTGTTGGAATGTTGTTCAGGACAAAGTACAGATACAAGATCACCACCAAGCAACATGAAAACACAAGAGCTTTCATGTGCAATCGAACTGATCTGAACAAGATATTGTGGTTGTTTCTTTGTGGCATGCGTGGAAGTTTTTGCACCTATTAATTATCATGCAGAGACTTACATTGTCCTCACATACTCACATGCAAGCCGTTGGATAACACTTGGTCCCACTTTAACTTTTTTTCCAGTGGTCCAAATTATGCACATATCTCACATAGTTTGTTTTCCTTTTGTACCCGCTTTGGATTCAGTGGATTTGAACCCGGACCCACTGAAGACCCTGCGAGTAAGAGAATAAAATAAAGATAGGCATTAGCTGACCTATCAGATATAGAGTCTTGTTCTGCATACGTTCTTATGTTTTGAACCACAACCCAATTGTTGTCTAAAACAAAGAGCCTCATTGTCCCCTTTTGCTAAACTACTTCATATCGGCTTAACCAATTACTAATACAATCTACCAAAGTAGCTTACAAATTTTACATTGTTCAACCCTTTATAACATGAAACCAGTTTTCATTAGCCTCTAGAATAAAATGCTTAATCACAATATTTTGCTGAAAATAACAGGGAAAGAATTTGGGAGAGCTAATGAAAATATCTTTAAACATGTGGGAGGAGGTTGTCTATATAGGAACTTTTATAATAGAAAAATAGAAAAAAAAATATGAAACTAATTTCTCTATAAGTTAAAAACTTTCATAGGATTTATCTATTTTTTATTTTTCTTTCCTAAGAGTGCTATAAAGAAATTTATTCAAGCATATTCTTATAAAGACTTATATAAAATAACTTGTATAAATTTTGTATTCAAACATACTAAGTTAAAAGAAAACAAAATGTTGACTCATATATGATATATAAAATAAAAGTAGGGGGAGGTTAAGGGGAAAAAGAGATATAAAATGCTCTTGGCTAGTCTTATCAATACATCCACTGGTTTTTACTGTATGAAGATACTGATTCTCCCACATCGCAGCTGCCCAATTTCTTTGGCCTCTGCTCAATTCCATGGCTCCGAAGAAGACAAATCATAATAATTCTATTTCAATTCTGCAAGATTTTGATGCCAACTGGCACTACCCCACCTAATACCTTCCAGTTATGTTATAAAAGGAGCACACATTGCTACCTCTCAACACATCAGCTCTTCCTTGAGTCTGATCATTACACAATTCTTCAACTTTCATAACACCTTTGCTACCAACTCATTTTTTTTGCCCTTCCTTAACTAGCCTCAAACCTTAGACCATCTCACAACTTCGAAAGAGTGAAATGGCATCAAGTTCAATGTCAGCCTCAGGCTCATGGAGTGTTAAGGACAACAAGGCCTTTGAGAAGGCTCTTGCTGTTTATGACAAGGACACTCCTGACCGTTGGTACAATGTTGCCCATGCTGTCGGTGGCAAAACTCCTGAGGAAGTGAAGAGACACTATGAACTCCTCGTCCAGGATGTTAAGCATATCGAGTCAGGTCGAGTGCCATTCCCAAATTACAAGAAAACTGCAGGGGCTGATCATGAGGAGAAAAGGTATCATTCCTTCCAATTATAGCTTCACAAAACAATACTCACCAGAGAGTGAAAAAACTATTCTTTCAATCAAGAAAGAAGTTTATGCAATAGTTAAAATTATACCTACCTACCAGCCAACAGCTTTATTTGATCTTCCTGACTCTAATATTCTATTTTCCTTTTTCGCAGACTGAGGAATTTGAACCTCCAGTGACCCCCAACTGCAACAAACTGATTTTCTAATTTTCATCAACCAACGTCTTCAATTTCCAGCATCCCTGGTAGTATTACGTGGTGTTATGTCACACATAATTGCTAGTGCAATGGCATTTTAGGTTATTTTAGTCATAAGAATCATATGTCCCGTGATTCCATCGTGTAATTTCTTATAGTTGAAGCTGTCTCTAAAAGAGTCATTGACCGTTTCAGTTCCTCGTCCTAAATAAAATTATAATTTTATAATATGCTTGATTACCATAACGTAAGTATGTCAGTTACCTTGTTCTTGAATAACACAGAGAAAATAGCTGCGTAGAACAAAATAACCATATTATCAGTGATGAAGAAACAATAACTGCTGGTAAAATAATTATCAAGAAAACGAGACTCATAAAACTTTTTAGTAGCAGTTCCTTTACAAGTCACTGTGCTGATATTGATTCTTCCACAAGAGAAGAGCTGGAATTACTAATCCATACTCTGAAACCATTGCCATTAACACCCTAATGAAAAGAAGCGGGAAAAGTTGCTTTGTAGAGCTTGAAATTCTTAGTTAAAATTTGAAATCTCTCAACAAAAACGTGATTATAGTAACGAAAGTTTGTCATTGTTTTAAGACAACCATTTAGTTTTTTTTATAAGAAGTGAAGTAACATGAATTTAAGACGATGTTTTATAGTAAGCACTGTAGGAAGTTTGTTCGTCCTGTAGTACTCAATCATCGCTCGAATGAGCTTTATTGAATTCTTAACAGTGGATAAAAAATTGGAATGAAGAGGAATAAAGAAAAGATATAGACATATATAGAAAAAATATATATTTCCTAAAAAAAATTCAAAATTTCCCTATGCTTATTTCTATGAAACACACACGTGTGTGTATATATATATAACAAATAAATTTAAACTTAAAGAAACCATTTTTTTAATTAACATAAATTAGTTTATATTTAAAAAAACAAACTTTAGCTTCTTTTTTTCACTCTCTTTTGCATGTCTCATTTAGGGGGAAATGATTTTATATTAACCCATAACGTCATTTCCTTCTTATTTCCCTGTCATCTAAGCAATTGAATTTGGTATTTTCTATCTCTCTGATAATCATTTTAGTAATGGAAAAAATACGAAGAAGAAGAATGTTTCATAGTCGTATGTATAATAACAAGAAGAAGAACGACATTTCACGCTAATAGCTTTTATTTTTTAAATAATAATACAACTTGATTTTTTCAGTCAGAAAAAGTCAAAGATTTTGGTATTAAAAAATTCATATAATACTCTTGTGTTGGAGAAGTGGTTGTCTCTCTCTGGGATCATAAAGCTCGTAAGATTTGACTATTAGGACAGTGTTATAGTCGTACGCTCCAAAGTGGTAAATATATGTTGGAAAATGGTTCACGTGATTATACAGTGATAAAACATTTCAATTGTTTGTTTCCGTAGATTAAGGCTTACGCATAAGCAAAGAAATGAGGGGTTGTAATTATAGTAATTATGGAAGTTGATTAAGATAGGCATAGGCAGTTAGCAATGCATATAATGCTAATGGTTCCCGTAATTGGGAACAATATGTTTTTAAAAGTTATCGCAACTGCACAAAATTACATTTGTTCTGTGTTTTTGTGAGGGGAATGAGGATAGTTGTAGGGAAATGGGGAACGGCCAAGGGTCCTTTCTTTGCTTATATCAACTCTAAAATTATTTTCTCTACCTCCAAAACCCATCTTTTGCTCTTTTCAAACTAAACCTTCCTTCAAATTTTGGTAAAGGTGGATAGTCCACGCCGCCACTCGACAAGTTCCACATCACGGTCCTGGGCTAAAGTTTCTAGTACTGACATCATTAGTTTCATAAAAAACTCGTATTATATACGCTTGTGAGGATTCTAGATCATACAAATATATGCTTAAAACAACCCACCAAACCGTCTTCCTATTTCTTATAACCGTGTATAGTTGTACAATCAGCTCTTTAATATATTACCTGTATATTCGATCCTTATAATACAACACAGCTTTTTTATACATTTTTAGTATATTTGCAATTATAAAAATGCATAATAGATAATATTTATTATTAATTTTGTTAAAATTTTATAAAATCATTATAAATATTTATAATATACATGAATAATCAATTAATTATCTAATATTTTATAAAAAGTCAAATTGACATTATTTTCTCGCGGTGTTCGTCTATGAATATGTATTCATTGAAAATATCTTCATAAAAAACTATAATATTTTAAATAAAATTTTTTAAGTATAGTATAATTAATCCTAACCTTCTTTATTTCTGTTTAAATAATGATCATTATCTTGTATCATCTCATTTATCTATTACATTGCCATTAAAAATATAAAAATTAAATTAGTTTGTTATTAAAAAAAATAAACCAAAATAAGTATTTATAATTATTTCCTTAAATGTAAATTGTAAAATTTTTATTAGTTTATTTGTTTATTGTCTTCAAATTTACTAAGCTTAACATTGTTGACATCCGTGTGAAGGTAGTTGAACAAAGATATTATGTCTCTATGTTACTATATATATCTTTCATACACATGCAATTGAGCAAAAAGTTCTATTCCAATATTATGAATCATGTTCTTCACTTGATCATCCACACTTGAATCAATTAAATCATGGTATTCATGTACTATTGACAAATCTAATAATTTATTATGTCATGTCCAAGTTATATAATTTTTAAGAAAACCATCAAATAAAATATGCTTCCCAATTTTTTTAACATTTAAGAATCTTGCATTAAGACAATTAACACATGGACATACATATCTTTAACTAGTAGAATGAGTACATCTACTACTTTTCTCAATTTCTCATACTAATCTTATATGGCGGCACAATTAATCAATCCAACTTTTGTCCATTTATAAATTTTGTATGCATACATAATAATATAATTTAGTCAATAATACAATTTGTTAGGGATTGGATACCCCAAACTCAATATAAATTTGTTCAAAAAATTCAAATATAATGCACATCATCACAATACATTAAATTCATATTATATTAATCTTATTAAGTAAGTCAAAATAATTATTTACTAGAGAGGAAGAAAGAACTCTCATGGAAGAGGAAAAATGAGCTCTTAAAGGGAGGAGAAGTGAGTTTCATGGACACAACACCAATTACAAGAGACGAAAAAGACCTCCACAAAATCAACTTCACATCATCACGAACCCACCACAAACCATCACGTAGACCCCCACACACCATGCAGACCACCACACTTCACCAACCACCACCAGTAAAGCTACACTCCACCAACAACCATAGAGACCATCACCCGCAGTAAAGAGGACGTGATACTACCACCACGTAAGTCTACCATCACTAGTGAGGGACTATCATTATGGGAGAAAGACTCACCCGCGTGAGAGAGGGAGAAAAGTGGTGAGACAAAGAGATGAGTAACTCGAGGGACAAGAGTGGTTGAGGAAGGTAGGGATGTCAAAACGGGCTAGGTCCGCCAGCCCGCCATGACATGGCGGGGCGGGTTGGTATTTTCAGCCTACCAGCCCGCTTTGGCCCGCCCTGCCAAGCCCGTCAACCCATCGGGCCAACCCGCGAGACGAGGCGGCCAGCCCATGAGCCAGCCTACATGGCCCGCCTAATTAATAAAAAAATTTATTGTAATAAAATTAATTATAAAGATAATATATAAAGTTAAAAATTTTAAAAAGAGAATTAAAAAAGTTTTATTCTCACAAAAAATATTCTCCTTCCTGAAACATAACCTTCTCTCCTATTCTCCTTGTTTATCCTAAGTATCGATTATTTTTTATCCTTATTACTTGAATTAAAGGTGTAAGAATCACTCAACCAAGAATAATATGAAGTTTTATCAAATAAAAAAGATATAGGTATTTGAATTTTTCAATACAAAAAATATGAATTTTATAAGTTTAACGTTATATATATATATATATATATATATATATATATATATATATATTTGTTATTATTTATTATTATGTAAATTTTATTATTGTTCTAAATTATAATTTCTTAAAATAATATATTGATTTATATTATTAAATTGAAATAATATATATATATATATATAATTATTGACAAACAAATAATAATTTTATTATTAAATTTATTAAAAAAATTATTTAAAAAAATATTTTTTTCTAAATTATGGCGTGCCAGCTCGCCAACCACTAACCCGCCCTTGACGGGCGAGCCAAAAATGGGGCGGATCCCTAGAGGAAGGCGTGCCAAAATAAAGGAGGAAGAAGGATGTGCACATTCAAAATGAGGGATGAAGACGAGAGTGAATAGGATATAGAGCATACGACGATGATTTTTCCTAATGACATCGTTATATAGCATATACAACAATAATTATTAAAAATCCATCGTCGAATAACTATCATCTTTAATATTTCATGATGAATATTTAATAATCGTCATCATCGTATACCTTATTATAATTTAAAAAATGTCACTACATCACTTTCGATAATGAATACTCAATAACCAGTCATAAACAATCGTCGTTAATATTTTATTTTACATAAGTAAATACAACAATACACAATATAAGCAAAGTTAATTTTATGCTTCAATCCTCATACGATGAATTACTTTAATACTACTAAATTTAACACTCCTAATTTTTATATAAACTATTATTTAAATAAAAAATATCAAAATCAGATAATTATTTATTTTATTTTTAAGAAACTTACAATTGAATTTAAATAAAATAAATATAAAATTTCGTAATAATGTTTATATGATCGGGTTTTAATTATTATATTTTATTTAAATGAATTTTTTTTCTTAATTATTATTGTTTGTTCCATGTATATCACTAGAATCAATTCTTATGTTCGAGGTATTGTTCCATCGCTAGGTCAATTCTCATGCTTAGGGTATTATTCGTTTTGAAGTTTTAGTCCGTCACGATTTTATCCTTAAAAAATGTCTTAATGGGTTAAGAGAGGATGAGAGGGTATATAAATTACTCTTGACATTTATTCTTAAATAACGTAAAATTCATGAGCATACTAAAATATAATCCCCAGTCGAGGATTAAAAGACATGAGAGTGGAGCGAGACTCAACTCTTAGTCCCACGATAAGTACTAATGTTCTATATAGGAACCAGAATGTCTCAGTCTCATATCTATTATAATATATCGTTAAGATCAATTTTCATATCCGAATTATTGTGTATTTTAGAGTTTTCGTTATTCATAATTTTATCTTTAAAAGACTTCTCAAAATAATCAAAATAACCAAAATAATGTGTGTATGTTTACCTTCTTCATATTATGTGTTATGTTTGATTATGAAAATACTTAACAAGAGTTGTTGAAAAAATCCATACGTGAAATTTCTAACATATATAAGAAAAACTACAAAATTCAGGGGTTTGTCTATTTCTTGTTCTTAAAAATAGATTTTAACTTTTTATTTTAAAAACTACAAAATTTGTTTACTAACCAGATAAAACAGTGTTTTGAAAATAATTTATCTTTTGTGGTTTCTAAAAATCATTTACTTTTTTATTTTTATTAATAGATATTCACGTTTATTTTGATAGTTATTTTAAATAATTTATTATTATTATCAAATTAATAAAATTATTTTTATTTTTTGTTATAATTTTTTATGATCATCTATATCATTTTTTCATTTAAAAATAATTTTAAAAATAAAATTATTAAATACGTCTTTTTTAACTTTTTTTCGAAAATAATTTTTTAAAATTAATCTCTGAAAACTAAGTAACTAAACTAAATCAAAGAGTTACATTTTGTATTTGGGTAGCTTCAAATAAAAAAATTTAAATTTTGTTGGACCAAGGAAATTTATAAGAGAAAGTAACAAAATTAAATAGAAGAAAGACTGACTATGGGATTATTATTATTAAAAAAATATAACTATAAAAATACTATAAATGAAAAAGAAAAAACACACGTGCACGTAAGAAAAAGTTTCTTTCTCAGTTTCTTGGTCTTTAAATACCCGTCCCTCTGCGACTCTTCGTTTCCTCTTCCATTCAAATTCGAAAAACCAAACCCCAACGGTCAAACCCCAACTCACTCCGCTGCCCTCTCACTAAGAATCCAAGAACCAACGTCATGCATTCGGGGGACGACGACCCAGGTTCAGGCTCCTCATCTTCAGACAAATTCCTGCTCGGCTTTATTATGGCCAACATCGTAGGCGGGCCGCACTACGACGACACCCTCCGCGGCCGCACCCTCGTCCTCCTCCTCCGCGAGCCCTACAACTTCCACGACCCCAACGCCATCCAAGTCCTTAATATCCACGCTCACCCCGTCGGCTACATTGAACGCGGCGTCGCCGCCGTTCTCTCCCCTCTCATTGACGACAACCTCATCACCATCGAAGCCATCGTCCCAGACGCCCGCAAAACCTACCGAATCCCCTGCCAAATCCACATCTTCGCCCGCCTCCACGACTTTGACGCGGTGAAAGTAGCCATCTCCCGTTCCTCCCTCAGACTCATCACCGAGTCCGAAGCCGCCTTCACCCTCTCAGACTCCGCTGCTGTTAAGGCTACCAGGGCGGAGACGAAGTCTAAGTCCGTCGACGCCATTTTCGACCTCCTCAACACTAACCTCGCCAATAAGAACCGCGCCGTCGATATCTTGGAGCCACCCAGGAGCATCATCAGGACCAAGCTTCTCCCTCATCAGAAAGAGGGCCTCGCGTGGCTCGTTCGCCGTGAAAATGCTGATGACATGCCACCCTTCTGGGAAGAAAACAATGGCAAGTTCGTAAATAGCTTAACCGCTTATCAAACCGATACAAGGCCTGAACCTCTGCGAGGTGGCATCTTCGCAGATGAGATGGGGTTAGGAAAGACCTTAACTCTGCTTTCTTTAATTGCTTTTGATAAAATGAGCCAAATGGGTTTCTCTAAGAAATCGAGATCGGACAGAAAGTCGGTTACTTTAGGGAAACGACCCAAGAATGAAGATGAGTGCTCCCTTCGAACCGGAATGAAAACAAATGCAACGTTGGTGGTGTGTCCTCCTTCTGTTATGTCGTCATGGATAACGCAATTGGAGGATCACACTGTGCCTGGTGCACTGAAGACTTACTTGTATTATGGGGAAAGAAGGGCAAAGGATACCGAGGAGCTTAAGAAGCATGATTTGGTGTTGACTACTTACACTACTTTGTCTAATGAATCGGGATCTATGCCGGGGAAACAAATGGAGTGGCGTAGAATTATATTGGACGAAGCACACACCATCAAAAATTTCTCTGCAAAACTGAGTATGGTGGTTTCCGGGTTGAATGCTAAGTACAGATGGGCAGTCACAGGGACACCAATTCAAAGTGGTTGCATTGATTTGTTTTCTATCATGGTCTTTTTGCGGTTTGATCCGTTTTCGGAGCGAAAATATTGGAGAAGGTTGGTGCAACGCCCTCTTAATCAGGGCAAAGAAAAAGGGCTCACCCGATTGCAGGTAAATGATGTATGGTTAGTTGTTTTTAGTCACAATATGATTGGAGTTTGCCATTGCTAGTGGGCATAAACTGTAGTGAAACATTAGTTTATATGCAGCCGTGTTACGTTGAAATGCAGTTGAATTTTTGGTGCTTAATTCCAATGATTTTAATAATTATTCTTGATGTATTTTTCTGTCTTATATTTTTGTGTTAGGTTATGTTTTTTGCTGGTTTATTTTGTAGGTTTTGATGGAAGCAATTGCTTTACGAAGAACAAAAGATATGGCATTGCTGTGTCTGCCACCTAAAACCGTTGAGATTTGTTACGTTGAGCTTTCTATGGAAGAACGTCGACGTTATGATCGTGAGAAAGGGGAAATAAAGGCATTGTTGACAAGTATTTACTGTAGGCGTAATGAGGGTTCCGAGTATACTGCGATGCTAAGTAGTATTCTAAGACTTCGCCAAATCTGTACTGATTCGAAGTTGTGTAAATATCAGTCACTACACAACATTGCAAATATGGAAGGTATAATTTTTACTTACAGACATGTCCAATCGGTGTCTAGTAAGGTTCTCAGGCTTTCTTTTTCAGTGCCATAATTGCTTCAGCCTGATTTTAGTTTAAAAGCATTACAAGTATCAGATATTCAATTTCAGAGAAACTTTTAACAGCAATGACAAATAACAAAAAGTTCCATATTTATCATTTCATTTTTGGATTATCATCCTTAGAGGTTGGATCACTAATTCTTGTTTTATCATTGTAGTGAATTATGAATGATGTGTGACATAAGGTTTTATTTTACCAACAGGAGCAGCTAGTTCGTATAATCCTGAATTGCTGCAAACATTACTTGGGCAGCTTCAAGATGGCGAAGATTTTGATTGTCCAATTTGTATATCAACTGCAGTGGATATTGTGATCACACGTTGTGCTCACTTTTTCTGCCGAGACTGTATTCTGACATCTATACAAAAGAAAAACTCCAGTGGTTGTCCTATTTGCAGGCGAAAACTCTCAGAATCTGAATTGTTCTCCCCTCCCGAGCCTTCGGAGACTGACAGTGGTGAACTGAGCTCAAAATCAGAAACACCGTTATCTTCCAAGGTTTCTACCCTGATAAAACTTCTTAAAGAATCAAGGGCCCATGATCCAGCTCTGAAGTCAGTTGTATTCTCACAATTTCGAAAGTTGCTGCTGTTACTTGAAGAGCCTCTGAGTGAAGCTGGTTTCAAGACTTCGCGTCTTGATGGGACAATGAATGCTAAAAACAGGGCTAATGTTATCGAGCAGTTTCAACTCCAAGGAAGTGATAGCCCAACAGTTCTGCTTGCAAGCCTCAGGGCTTCAAGTGCAGGTATAAATCTCACAGCTGCCTCTAGACTCTACTTCATGGAGCCATGGTGGAACCATGCAGTTGAGGAACAGGCAATGGATCGTGTCCACCGCATTGGACAGGAAAAGCCTGTGAAGATTGTTCGATTCATTGCTCAAAACAGCATTGAAGAGAGAATGCTGTTGTTGCAGGAGAAGAAGAAACAACTACCCAGGGAAGAATCATCTGAGACGGGATCAGAGGGCATGGGCATTGCTGATATGAGATTCCTTCTAGATTGCGACAGATGGTTATTTATTGGTCGCTGAATGTGAATTTTTTGAGTTTTATTTCCTCAAACTTTTGCTTCACCTCAGCAACAAATGAGGATGTCTTACTGATAAACAGCTAAACTGCAGCAAGGAACTTTCATAGCCTTTACTCGAAAATTAAAAATTCACGAATGCATATATAAATTAGATGATTCAAATAGAACATTTTCACAAGAAAAACTATGTCCAAATATTTTAATTTGGGCTAAACCCACTTGATCATTCTCGAGCTAGCCCAATCTTTTAATTGCTGTTTTCTAATTCATATGGGCTAATGTGGTGTTTCTTCCTACACCCTCGTACAGATTTTGGATACCTCTCGTTTATTCTAAATTGGACCTTGCAGAAAATACATACTAAAATGAATGAAAAGCTTATTAAGGTGTCCATGAGGGCAATTTTATTATTGTATAGATCAACCATAAATTAAGTACACATAAATCACGTTAATTACAAAATAATTTAATACACATAAATTTACAAAATGTATGTGCACATAATTACATTAACTATTATCTCCATGAAAAACTAGCACAAGATGGTTCTCAAACAATAATTTTATGTGCTCCTATGTATATAAAACATGATTATCATAGTTTAAAACTAAAAAATTACAATTGTTGAGGGTAAGATAACATTCCAATGTAACTACAATTAAAACAAAATATTTCATCCCACGTTTCAATCATAATACTACATAGTTAACATTTATTCATCACATGATTATAATACACAATCACTTGGGGAAAACATTCATCTATCACTATAATTGTATCTTTCTCAATATCTCATCTTGTAATCAGCATTTGTGAAATTCAAGAAATGATTATAGTCATTCTCATGTGATAAGAACAATTTATAACTCTTTTTTTTCTATTACCTAACACATACACAACCCAAAAACAAATGATAAGAACCTCTTTTAGTCATCACCACCTTATATCTTCATATATATATATATATATATATATATATATATATATATATATATATATATATATATATATATATGCAAAACCTGTATTTCATTAAAAAAATCTCAATTCTGACATTTTCCAATACTCTTTTGCATAACATATTATCCACCAAAACAATTTCCAATTCAACACCAAACAAATACACTTATCCAACATAACAATATTGTCTAAATTTCCAAATCATACAATTCTTAACAATTTCATGATAAGCCTCAGATTCCATCATCATAACCTAAAAACTAATTAAAATTTAGTTAGTTTTCCCAATCTTTACTTCCATATTTTTAAAGAAAAAAATCCAACTTTCAAATGAAGTGAGATAAGAATACTCTAACTAACTCCGACAAAGCTCTAATAAAAAGAAGAAGAAAAACATTATTAATGACTATTTCAACGTACAAAAATTCATCTTTTCTCTAAAAACCCTAAGACAAAGAACCTAGGTTTGCATGCAAGCTACATTTCAAAAAGAATATAGAAGAGTAAAGTGGCTGAGAGAAAAAATAACTTTTAGAATCTAATTGGTATGCACATTCTTAATTATATAAAAAAAAAAGTAAAAAAATAAAACAATGAAAAATGAAGTTATAATCTTAAAAATAAGATTGTTAAAACAAATTGTTTGAACCACTCTAACTTCGTTTTATTAGCCAAGTAAATACAATTGATGATCTAGTTTTATATTTTAAAACAGGTCAATATGTTTCTTTGTTTTCTTATTCTACTCTTATGTTAGGCTAACCGATAAACAACGTAAATTGTCTCATCATAATAGTGAAACACAGATCACATAGAATTTTTGACATTATTCATGGAGACATATAGGGATCATATTCTGTACCTTATAATTAAATATTATTTTAAATATAAACATCTTTAGTTTAATTATAAAGATACAAATTTTTTTTTAATTGGGGAGGTTTTATAACTTTTTTCTTATAAAAAATATAGATTTATTTTTTATTTCCCTTCTTTCAAAATATCTTCTCATTTCTAATTTTAGATTTTTTTTTCATCCTCAAATTGAAAACCTAGAAGAAGGTATATGTTATATGCATTTGATCCTGCCATTATAACACTTGTCTTGGTCACTGATGTTATCGTTATTGTTATCGCTATTGCACCTGGTTTAGTTGTTATCTAGTCCGTTGTCATTATTGGTGCAACGATTTAAAGATATAGTATTGTTATTAAACTATAAAAAAAAACTAGAGATCACAATTTAGGTGATAAATTTAAAATTGTTGATTTATAAGAAAATATTTTCATTGAGAAAAATATAAGATCATAATATAATATTTAGAAGGTTGTTAGCATAAGGAGGAACTCAATGTATTTTGAATATTTGACACTATATAATTGTAAAATATTTTTCATGTAAGAGCTCATAGTGACACACGTTATGTCATTTGTTTCTTGAGAGTATGGATGAAAGATATTTCATTATACAATCAGATGTTATACTCATGGAACTTATTTATTTAATTATCAGATTTTTTTTCTCTTATTATAAAATAAATTGTAAGTTTAGTTATGATGTTCTTCTTTATTCTCATGGAGAATCTGGACTTCCTATAAATACTATCTCTCATTCTCATGGAGGTATAAACCTTAAACCAAATATTATTGGTCCAAGAAATTATGGTAAAGAGGTAGTAAATTTAATGGTAATGGTGTATGTATTTATAGTGATTCTTAAGCAAATTTTTGTATGTCAAAATCTAAATAAGTGCATTCAATCAATTTTGTTAACAACATTAATATTCAAGAAAATATTTAACTAGATTTCATCTATATCTAAGTAACAATTCACTAAGAGTTAAAGTATTCATGCATTGATTTATAATTCAACCTTATGTTAGAATCATTTGTCTTATTACATCAATATCATTATTGTTAAAAGCAGTAGTAAAATAGGTTTAATAGGATGACATAACTTTAAAGATCCGAGAAATATAGTAGGTTAGACAAAAAAATTTGTAAGTTAAATTAAATTAGGTCTATTTTTGTCTGATCTATTTAGGTCTATTTTGGCATGACTTATTTAGGTCATAACTTACTTAGGTTTATGTCAATATAATTTGTAAGCTTATGGATCGAACCATTTTATAAAATAATAATTATTTTTAAATAAAAATAATATTATTTTATTAAAAAAATTTATATGTACTATAAATTAATTTGACAAAGGAATTTATTTATTTTAAGAATAAATATTAAAATAAATATTTAACAATCAATTAATGATTATAATTAATTACTAATATAAATTAATAAATTATTAAAAATAAATAATGATAATAAAAAGTAAGTTTTAAATTTTTATTTTGAAATTAAATTGATGCATTTTCTTATAATTTATATATTAAATTATTATATCTTAAACAAAATAATTTCATGAAATTTAAATTTTCAAAAAAAAATTATTTTTTATTTTTATTTAAATATTTTTAATTAACTAAATATATATATATATATATATATATATATATATATATATATATATTAATCACACAAAAATTAACCCAACAAAATATAAGATTTGATTAAATTATAAATTTTGACTCCTTTTAACATATAAGTGAGACTGATTTGTCAAATATTTTTATTTAGTTCATAACACCTGAAAAGATTTTTTTACAATTCTAGTTGTTAATTCCGTACATTCTAATTAACGAGGTATTAAGAGTGACAATTAAGATAAAAAATCTTTATCTCCATTTAATAGTATCTTGTAAATTTTTCTATTTTTTATACCATTTCTTTTTTTCTTTTTTTACATAATGTGTTGTACATTTATTTTTTCAATATTAATCTTGTTTATAAGTCAACCTTTTTATATTATTAATATATATATATATATATATATATATATATATTATAAATTAATTTGATAAACAATTTATTTATTTTAAAAATAAATATAAAAATAAAATAAATCTTTAATTCCAAATTGTTGTAAAAACTAATTATTAAAATAAATTATTATTTTAGATTATTATATTAATCAAAAATAAAAATGATAATAAAAAAATAAATCTTAACTGCTTATCATTTTGAAAAAAATAAATTATTTAATATTCATTTATTTCTTTATATCCATAATTTTCTAACATTTTTATTAAATCATTCTTATTAATTTTTTTGCAAATTTGTATTGAGCATATATATGTATATATATATATATATATATATATATATATATATATATATATATATATATATATATAAATTAGTGTAAAGTTGTGTAAGTTAAAAACTAATCTTTTTGTTTGGAGTATAATATTTCTATTATCTGTTTTTCTTTTATCAAGTTTTATTTAACAATTTATTTTTATTTTTATTTTCTTCTCTCAATTCCTCTGTTTTGTGGTTTTATTCTGCTAACATATTTGAAGTCCTTAGCTTAAAATTTATGACAATGTCGTTATATCCAACTACAAGTTGATATTGGTTCTGTAAAATGGTTAATAGTTGGGGATCTCCGGGTCCAAATAATTAATAAATCAGCATTCCAACCTACCTCGTGCATCTGTCAAATGTATATTGTTCTGGAATTCTAGTTTAGTTTTTGAAGAATTCTTACGTTCATCGTCACATTAAGTTTTTCGGTATTCATGATTTTATTCTGGGGTTCGAGGTATTTCGATTCGGTTCTCATTAAAGTCATTGAAGTCTAACATCTACCAGAAACTATAAATTCATTCTATCTATCTTTGACCCTTTTAAGATTAAATAAATAGACACTCATTGAAGAAGCTTTATATACAATTAATTCTTAAAAAAAATTATATTTTAAAAGAAAAAACAGATTTTATAATTAAAAAGTATAAAGAATTATAAAATTTCTAAAAGAAATTAAATGGTTCAAGTATTAAATAAAAATTACGAGTCTTATATGAAAGAAACATTTCATTATCAACCTATTAAGTATTTTTTTATCCTTATATATATATATATATATATATATATATATATATATATATATATATATATATAATCTTTAAATATTAATATAAAAATCATTCTAAAAAAATTCATAAATAAATCTTTATATATTATTTTTAGAATAATATTTTGTCATCGTTTTTATCTTTTATTAATATATAATATTTTCATATGAAATGGAAATAATATATTTTTTTCATATTTATTATAATAAATAAAATTATCACATTATTGTAATCATTAATTTTTATATGAAGTATTTAGTTGTAATTTATTATAAAATAAAATGTGGACAAAGGAAACAGAATTTTGACGCTTTTGAAAGTGCATGTATGACCTTTTATTTACTACTTGTTATTCTTTATGAAACATCAACTTTCTTCGGCTTAAATGTGGTCCCGACTCAAATTAATGTTACTTAATTTACAGTGGACCATTTTTGTGCCGTTATCTAAATATTTTTATAAATTTAAATAGAATAGTTTAATTATATATAATATAAACAAAGTCAGATAAATTAAATTATCTTATTTTTAATCTAATATTTTTATTAATAAGAGACAAAATATTATTATTACAAAAAAAAACATCCTATTTCTTGGAAAAAAAATGTTTTAAGTTTTCATATTTAAGTATTTCAATAATAAATACAAATTCCAGAGTTTTTCAATAATGATATTATAACAATTTATCAATGTTAAATTTTTTTTTACTCAGTATAAAATACTGTTTAATATATAAATTCTAATTATGGTTATATGTCACTATTTTTATTGGCTTTTTTTCATATTTTAAAATTTCTATTAACTTGAGTATCACATGTTACATTTGTTAACCATATTCAACTTTCCTCAAATATCATTAAAACTAACAATTTTTGTTTTACCTATCCCAATAAAATACTAACTTTTCATATTTTACAGTAATTTAAGAAATATCTTATTCCTACTTTTCAAATTAGCTTGCTTATCTAAAAGTAGTTTCTTGATGAATACAATATTTAACTTATTTTTGTATTAATATTTTTTATACACAATATTACAATCACACCAAGATGATTGACAAGGATGAATTAATAAAGGAATTGTATATTTTTAAAACTGGCTATATAAAGTCTTTTATAATGATAATTATCGTAATATTTTAAGTTTGTTCATTATAACCATTTATAATTTTGTTTTCAGTAAAAATACCTTCAAGTTATGGCATGGAGACATGGTTATTTGTCTAATAAATTTTTTAAATCTTTAAATATATAATTGAATTTGCTATTCATTATACGATTTTTGACATCAATTCTATAGAAAAATGATACTTTGACAACTCAAATTCATACAACTTCACGTAAACAACTCTGTTTTAATATTATAATAATAGTTTTACTTTATTTTTATTTTTATTAAATCAGTCTATAGATTATTATATTAATAAAAGTGAGTTGTTTATAAGGGTTGTATGGTTTTTGGTTGTCAAAATATCATCACTCAATTCTATATATGTCCCTTGTCTGAACAGGGTTGTCTTGTTTCTCCAACCCCAAATTTTCTCACTTTAACATTAATTAATTATTTTTAAGTACAAACAATTACTTTATAAGAGTAACACATGATTCAAACATTGAATATATATATATATATATATATATATATATATATATATATATATATATATATATATATTAAACTTGAAGCCAAAATAGTGTTTTAGTAAATTAAATATTAATTTGTAATTTCTTTTATACGTGTCAATTAGATTAATGTATTCTATTATATTTAAAAAATAATCTTTATGTTATTAATATGAAATGTTTTAGTGTTCTAGTTTATAGTAAAATATTTTTTCTTTATAAATTTCGTTCAATTTAATTAAGTTCTATATTAAAAAAGTATATACTTTTTAAAACTTTAAAACTTAATTAATCTTTAAACTTTATAAAATACGTGAATTTAGTTATTCTACTAATTTTATAACGGTAATTTTATATTTACTAAATATTAAGTTTAGATTAAAAAAATCATACATTTGAAGATTTATTTCTTTAATAATTTTATAGTGATAAAAAATATTTTAAATATTAAATCTAGATATCAAAATTTAAATTGACATATTTTAAAAACTAGAAGACTGAATTTATAAATATAAGAATAAAAAATAATTTTTTCTCAATTTCTTTTATCATAAGTATTGATAAATTTATTCAAATAAAACAATAACATATGTAACTTTTAAAGTAGATTTTTGCTAATTAAAGTAATAATTATGAAAACTAACAAACTTATTTTACTTAAAAAACTTGTAATTAGATAGTACAAATAAAGGGGTTTATATATTTAGTAATACACTTTTTGACAAAATCATATATTTTATATCTTAAGTAAGGATATTTATTGTAGTTTATAATTTTAAATAAATTTAAACTGACAAAAAAGAAGGAGAAAAGGTGTTATTAAGGCCTATGTAGTTAGTTACATATACTACTTTCTATTGAATTATTTTTACAGTGTCTGGAAACTTCAAAGAATAAAAAGAATTATCTGTGATTTGAAAAATATTAACATAATAGTTGCATCCATTATCTATATCTTTGGGAAATGTGCACGGTTGTTGATAACCATATCTTTGTGCGGGTCTGTTCTTTCCACACTTCAGAACACGTGTCCTTTTAGGGTACTTATCCTTAATGTTAATTCCAACGCCCATCACAGTGCTCCTTTTTAGAGTATCTATCCTTCGTGTTAATTCCAAAACCCATGACACTATACATGGATCACAACTTGACGGTGCAAATTTGTCTATGTAAGGAATCATATGCCGTACACGTGGCCCCCACCACTCTTCTCTTATGCTCTCCCACCACTGACTCACACAAGGAAAATAAAAGAAGAAGACAAAAGTAAGGTGATCTAGTGCATCTATGGTGCATGGGTACACAAGTATTGTCAACCTTTGATCTATTATTTACGTATTTGTATGGTTGGGATTCAAAAAGTGAAAAAGAAATTAAAAATTATATTTTTGTTGGAGACGTGAATTAATCAAATCAGCAGAGTTGAAAATGAAGACTTTCGACTTATCAAAACATTAAAATAATTGAAGACTAAATAGTATCTTGCATGACTACACTACCTAGGTTGGTAAACGCGTGAAGCACGTGCATAAATTGCCCCGTCAACTCACTAGACGGATGATATGGACAGAATAAATAGAATTTGAAAATAAATTTAGTTAAATAAATATAATTAACATTTAATAATTAATAGAAACCTTTAACGTGTTTTACGGAATAAAAGAAAAAACATTTCGTGTATATCTCTTGGGCTATCTATTTTAATTGTGGCGTCAAGATATTATGGTGAAATGATATAAAATCTTGTCAAAAAATTTAACAGTAAAGGAAAATTTGAAGACTTTTGATCATAATATTTATATTTTTTAATAATTTTTATAATAAAAAAATAATGGCATTTGAAAGAGAAATAATAATAATAATAATAATAATAATAATAATAATATTTACTTTTATTTTTTATATTTATAAAAAATACAATAATCCAAGATAAAAATTTAAAAATAAATTACAATCCAAAAAAATGTGGTGAAAAGGTAGAAGATCAATAAAAAAAATGACATAATTTAATTTTTTATAAAATTATGTCTTAAGATGGGTAAACATTTAGCACTTTATTCTTTTATTGCTGACCTATACACATTTTTTATTATATTAATTGATCCTAACCGTTCACACAATTGTATGAAGTCTCATTTGAATAATATCTAACATCGCTCTTAATGCATATATACATCATTAACTTACAACGATAATCTTTTCAAGACTTAACAAATTAACTTTTCTAATAGTGCTAGACATCATATTTAACATATTATATTCAGATGTTGTATCTATTCATTACCATAACATATTATATTCATATTTATCCCCACAATATTAATATTGATTTATTGTTGGTCTTATAATATCATATAATTTTCGTTTTCATTCTCCATGGTGAAACAACAATTACTTTCTCTACAAAAATATTTTACTTTAATTACTTCTATTATATGACAATCATTAGTAAACATTAATAAAAAGGTATTTTTCAACTAAATAATTACCTTAAATTAAAACTAATTTAATTAAGTAAATAATAAACGGTATTTTTTTTACATTATAAAAATTCATTTCAAATTATTTTCATAATTATTTAGTAAAAAAAAGTATACCACTGCTTAACATCGATAACTATATTTATATTTTAAATTTTGAATGGATAAACCTAAATTTAAGGCTCTAATTATTATTATTTAAACAAGTATTTTTATAATTATTTATAGTTTAGATAATTCTTATAGTTAATCATCTAAAAATAGTTATGTAAGTTTTTTAACTCTTTACTTAATTTAATAAATTAACTCCTAATTTAAATTATTTAACTAAATAATGTTATGAAATTTTGTTTATAATTATTTACTTATAATTTAATAAATTAACTCTTAACCAAAATTATTTACCTAAATTTGTTAAACAAGTATTTTTACAATTTTTAATAGTTCTAATAATTTTTATAATTAATTATCTAAAAATAATTATGTAATTTGTTTTTATAATTATTTACTTATAACTTAATAAATTAACTCGTAACCCGGATTATTTATCTAAATTTGTTAAACAAATATTTTTACAATTATTTATACTTCCAATAATTCTTATAATTAATTACCAAAAAACAATTATGTAATTTTTTTAATTATTTTACTTATTATTTAATAATTTAACTCCTAATCCATATTATTACCTAAAAAAACTATTGTTATGATTATTTGCTAAACAAATATTTTTACAATCATTTATACCTAAAAATAGTTATCTAATTTTTGTAATTATTTACTTATAATTTAATAATTTAACTTCTAACCCAAATTATTTACCTAAAAAATCTTTCATTTATTCTTAAAAAAGATTTTGTTTTCAATTATATATGCTTTCGATCGTTCTTATAATCACTTACCTAGCAATAGATACCTAGTTTTTACAATTATTTAATTAAACATATTTCTACTATTATATTCCCTAAACTAGTAGATGTCAAACTTAATAAAGGTATTTAACACTTATAATGCATGCCACGTAACAAATCCTATAATTTTTAAATAGATTAATAATTGAACATTAATATTAACATATTTAACATAATATATAACACTACACTAGAGAACCTAATATACAAGACTGTAGTAAAGAAGGAATTAACATAAACACATAATTGATTATTATGTTAAGCATAATCGATTATACAATGAAAGATAATCAATTATGTTGTCCTCAATTACAGAGTGTGATGTAATTGATTATGTTAGTCTTTATGTGTAACTGTGATAGAATTTAACAACAATTCAACAGTAAATTTACACCCATTGAAGTTATTAAGAGGTACAAGACAGTTAATTTGAGATCCTAAATCACTTAAACCATTCAACCAATTGTACATGAAAAAGGGATAGAAAAACTTACGGGATTGGTTTGATGTACGTGGAAGAAAAAATAGTTCTGCAAGGCTATTATCATTCCTTGCCCACCTCAATCATACCTTTTCTTTTACTGGGACTGTATGAGTGCATGTGGGAGGAGAAGTCATTCCAATGGGTCTATTTATACTTGAAAAATATGGAATGATTTATGGGCTCGTTCAACGGATGAATAGAAATCCAATATTCATTCAATACGCATAGTTAATCCCAGTGCTCTATGGTTGAGGGTTAATCGATAAAATTGACATATAATAATGTCAGTGTTACAGTGGTAGCTCAAATATTAAAAAGGAATATGTTCGATGAGTCTTCAGAAGTCATGTGTCGAGGAGGGAGTTTGTTGGTCATTGTGCTTGATGGCCAGTCTCAATGCACATGATCAACGGATTAACAAAAA